CTATACTGCCCAAAGTAATTTACGGAATCAACGCTATTCCCATCAAGCTACCATTGACTTTCTTCACAGAACTGGAAAAAACCACCATGAACTTAATATGGAACCAAAAGAGAGCCCGCATAGCCAAATCAATTCTAAGCAAAAAGAACACAGCGGGGGGCATCACACTACCGGATTTCAAACTATACTATAAGGCTACAGTAATCAAAACAGCATGGTACTGGTATCAAAGCAGAGATATAGATCAATGGAACAAAACAGAGGCATCAGAGGCAACACAACACAGCTACAACCATACAATCTTTGATAAACCTGACAAAAACAAGCAATGGGAAAAGGATTCCCTGTTCAACAAATGGTGCTGGGAAAACTGGCTAACCATGTTTAGAAAGCAGAAACTGGACCCCTTCCTGACACCTTACACCAAAATTAACTCCAGATGGATTAAAGACTTAAACATAAGACCCGGCATTATAAAAACCCTAGAAGGAAATCTAGGCAAAACCATCCAGGACATAGGAGTAGGCAAGGACTTCATGAACAAAACACCAAAAGCATTGGCAACAAAAGCCAAAATAGACAAATGGGACCTAATGAAACTCCACAGCTTCTGCACGGCAAAAGAAACAGTCACTAGAGCAGATCAGCAACCAACAGAATGGGAAAAAATTTTCGCAGTCTACCCATCTGACAAAGGGCTGATATCCAGAATTTACAAAGAACTCAAACAGATTTACAGGAAAAAAACAAACAAGCCCATTCAAAAGTGGGCAAAGGATATGAACAGACGCTTTACGAAAGAAGACATATATGAGGCCAACAATCATATGAAAAAATGCTCATCGTCACTGGTCATCAGAGAGATGCAAATCAAAACCACATTGAGATACCATCTCATGCCAGTTAGAATGGCGATCATTAAAAAATCTGGAGACAACAGATGCTGGAGAGGATGTGGAGAAAAAGGAACACTTTTACACTGTTGGTGGGAGTGTAAATTAGTCCAACCATTGTGGAGGTTTGGCGATTCCTCAAGGCCTTAGAAATAGAAATTCCATTTGACCCAGCAATCCCATTACTGGGTATATATCCAAAGGACTATAAATCGTTCTACTACAAGGACACATGCACACGAATGTTCATTGCAGCACTGTTTACAATAGCAAAGACCTGGAATCAACCCAAATGCCCATTGATGATAGACTGGATTGGGAAAATGTGGCACATATACACCATGGAATATTATGCAGAAATCAGAAATGATGAGTTTGTGTCATTTGTAGGGACATGGATGAATCTGGAGAACATCATTCTCAGCAAACTGACACAAGAACAGAAAACGAAACACCACATATTCTCACTCATAGGTGGGTGATGAAAAATGAGAACACATGGACACAGAGAGGGGAGTACTAAACACTGGGGTCTAGAGGGGGAAAAGGGGAGGGCCAGTGGGCGGGGGCGGTGGGGAGGGATTGCCTGGGGAGAAATACCAAATGTGGGTGAAGGGGAGAGAGCAAACAAAACACACTGCCATGTGTGTACCTATGCAACTGTATTGCATGCTCTGCACATGTACCCCAAAACCAAAAATGCAATAAAAAAATAAAAATAAAAAGAATAAAAAAGAAAACAAAAAAATAATTTTTAAAATGCAAATGAAAGCATATATATGTACACACACATGTATCCACACATAATATTTATCCTATGGTATTGGGTATGGGCAAAATATTTTATGTGTGTAATTCACAATGGTGTTGCTAAGAAAATAATGTACTTTCATACTGTTGGTTATAGTATAAATCGGAATATAACATATAGATGTTATCACAAAAGTATACCAAGATATGGACAAAAGTGTTTATTACAGCAATATTTACAACCAAAAAAAAGAAAAACAATCAAATTATTTAAATGTTTGTGGACAGAGGCCTAGCTTTAAAATGTGTGGAACTTGGAATTCTATTCAGCCATTTTTAAAAAATGAGGTTGATTTCTACATGCTTTGATTTATTTATTTATTTTTGGAGACATGGTCTCACTGTCACCCAGTGGCATGATCTCAACTTACTGAAACCTCCACCTCCCAGGTTTAAGCGATTCTCCTGCCTTAGCCTCTGGAATAGCTGGAATTACAGGTGCACTCCACCACGCCTGCCTAATTTTTGTATTTTTAGTAGAGACGGGGTTTCACCATGTTGGCCAGGCTAGTCTCGAACCCCTGACCCCAGGTGATCTGCCCGCCTCAACTTCCCAAAGTGCTGGATTACAGGCATGAGCCACCATGACCAGCCTTTTTTTAAAAAAATGTAGATGTGTATTGCATATGGTATAGAGGCCAAGAGGGTAAGTATTTCTTGGCCTTCTGAAGTTTCACTGAAAAATCAACTTGGAGAAGGCAGGTTAATAGGAGAAAAGCACAAATTTATTTAACAAGCATACAATTAATGAAGACTCAAAGATATAGATGATATTGCCCATTTTTATGCTTAGGTGTAACAAAGTATGCAGAGCCATGTAAAAATATTGGGCCAGGCTTGGTGGCTCACACCTATAATCCCAGCATTTTGGGAGGCTGAGGCAGGCAGATCACCTGAGGTCAGGAGTTTAAGACTAGCCTGGCCAACATGATGAAACCCCGTCTCTACTAAAAATACAAAAAAATTAGCCAGATGTGGTGGTGGGCGCCCGTAGTCCCAGCTACTATGGAGGCTGAGGCAGGAGAATCTCTTGAACCCGGGAGGCGGAGGTTGCAGTGAGCTGAGATCGTGCCATGGCACTCCAGCCTAGGTGACAGCGAGACCCATCTCAAAAAAACATTCAGAAGTACAAATGGCCAACAGTTATGAAAAAATCCTCCATCTCATTACTCATAATGGAAATGCATGGCAAAACTACAATGAGATATATTTCACCCCAGTTAAAATAGCTCTATCCATAGCAAAACTCTGTCTCTACTAAAAATACAAAAATTAGTTTAGCGTGATGGTACATGCTTGTAATCCCAGCTATTAAGAAGACTAAGGCATGAGAATTGCTTGAACCTAGGAGGCAGAGGTTGCAGTGAGTTGAGATCGCACCACACCACTGCGCTCTAGCCTGAGCAACAAAGCAAGACTCCGTCTCAAAAAAAGAAAAAAGAAAAAAAAGATTGGACAAAAAGGGTCCTGCTCACAGACTGAGTGGGGAAATCCAGCCAGGCCTGCCTATCCAGATCCTTAGTCTTTCTCTGCAGCATTCCTTCCTTCTGGGTGAGGAGCAGGGACCTCCAGTGATTTGAGGTCTTTTGATCTACTGTCAAACAAGGTAAGTCAGATAACTTTTTTTTTCTTGAGACTGGGTCTTCCTGTGTCAGCAGGCTGGAGAACAGTGGCATGATCATGGCATACTGCAGCCTCAACCTTCTGGACTAAAGCAATCCTCCCACCTCAGCCTCCCAATTAACTGGAACCACAGGGTTGCACGGCCACACCAGCCTAATTTTTTAATTTCTAATTTTGTAAAGATGGAGGATCTCCCTATTTTGTCCAGGCTGGTCTTGAACACCTGCGCTCAAGCAATTCTCACACCTCTGCCTCCCAAAGTGCAGGGATTACAGGCATAAGCCACTGCACTCAGCAGATAATTTCATTTTGGTTTGTTTGTTTGTTTTTGAAACTGACTCTTGCTTTGTCACCCAGGCTAGAGTGCAGTGGCATGATCTCAGCTCACTGCAACCTCTGCCTCCTAGGTTCAAGCAATTCTCCCACCTCGGCCTCCTGAGACTATAGGCATGTGCCACAATGGCTGGCTAATTTTTTGCTTTTAGTAGAGATGGAGTTTCTCCACAATGGCCAGGCTGCTCTCCTGACCTCAGGTGATCCGCGTGTCTCGCCTCCCAAAGTGCTGGTATTACAAGCCGGAGCCACCGCGACCGGCCAAGATAGTTTCTTTACAGGCAGTTTGACATAGAAAGGTGGAGGGAAGGCCGGGCACGGTGGCTCACATGATGAAACCCCGTCTCTCCTAAAAATACAAAAAACTTAGCCAGATGTGGTGGTGGGCGCCCGTAGTCCCAGCTACTCTGGAGGCTGAGGCAGGAGAATCTCTTCCCAAAGGCCAAGGCGGGCAGATCACCTGAGGTCGGGAGTTCAAGACCAGCCCGACCAACATGGTGAAACCCCATCTTTATTTAAAAGAAAAAAGAAGAAGAAGAAAAGAAGAAAGAAGAAAGAAAGAAGAAAGAAAAATAAAGGAAAGAAAGAAAGAAAGAAAGAGAGAGAGAGAGAGAGAGAGAGAGAGAGAGAGAGAGAGAGAAAGGCCGGCCGAGGGAAAATTAGAGTCTTTTGTTTTTGGGGTTTTTTTTTTGTTTTTGAGACAGAGTCTACCTCTGTCACCCAGGCTGGAGTGCAGGGGTGCGATCTCGGCTCACTGCAACCTCTGTCTCCCAGGTTCAAGTGATTCTCCTGTGTCAGCTTCACCAGCAGTAGCTGGAATTACAGGTGCCCACCACCACACCCGGCTAATTTTTGTATTTTTAGTAGAGACGGGGTTTCGCTATATTGTCCGGGCTGGTCTCGAACTCCCACCTCAGGTGATCCGCCTGCCTCAGCCTCCCAAAGTGTTGGGATTACAGGTGTGGGCCACCGCGCCCGGACTAATTTTGTTTTATGGCTGACTTTTGGGAAAGGGGCTTTGATTTCTGTGGCTGTCCTCGGGTGAGAATGGTAGCGAGAGACAGGCGCGCAGGAGAAAATCAAAAGGAAACATTTTCTTGTGTGGCTGCTGCTGAGGTTCTCATTTTAGGGTACTGTTTTCTGAGCCCCAACAGTTGCCAGCTGTACCATAACAATCAGAATGCATTTAAAACTTTTTCTAAAATAAATGAAGCTAAAACTAGCTCTTATCCTTTAACCACTGAATTAGCCAGTTACCAACTCTTAGAGTTGCTTCTTCTCTGGGATAGCCCAGGGACCTGAGGCCTATGTAATGCACAGAGTCCTGTGGACGTTGATCCCCATCGGAGGGGAGCCCAGGCGTCCCTAGCGCGGGTCTGTGCTGTGTTTCTGCCATTGCTCGTGGCCACCACAAGGTGTCACTCTTTGTTGCTCCTGCACGTTCCCACCACGCCCATAACGGCTGGCTAGAGAGGAAGAATTCCACTCCCCCAGCACCAGCTAATCCAGAGTCCTTTCAGTTCCCCGGGCTTCATTCGTAATGCCCAGTTTTTAGAGGCCCCGCCAGCCTCGGCCCTCAATCCCGCCCTCAACCCCAGCACTACATCCGGACTGGCTCAGAGGAACACCCATTCCAGACAATAACGTTTTCTTTCTTGCCCAGGTGTTTCAACCTTTAAACCAGACTGGGCTTGTTCTGTTTTTACTTTTTAAAATTTTAACTCCTCTCTTACTGTCATTCCCAAATGGGCTTGTTCTAATTCCTTCCTGGACCATAGAGCTACAAACTTCCTCCAAGAGTGACTTCCAGTAGGCTTTTGGGCATCGTTGGTGTCCCGTTTCATACATAAAGGTAGGTCAACGTTCCCCCACCTTCCCTGACAATAGGGCCTGATTGTCTCCAGTTGGGGGGGCCACCCCTTGCAAACAGCTAAATTCCTTTTACTTTCCCTAGAGGAAAGTCGCTCCGTGGGGAGCCAGCTACCCAGGGGCAGAGTTTCTGGCATTCTTTGGAAGAGCAGTGAAAATAAAACTCACAAGTTACATCTTCAGCAGAGTGTCTGCTACATATGAATATATTGTACACATATTTTTATATGGTTGCAAACATAATAAATGTAGGTCCATGTCCTGATTTTTCACGTACTGCAATATGTGTTGAGTATCTTCCCATGTCATTCTAAATTCTTTATAATCATTATTTGTAATGGTTGAATAATCTTTTTCATGGTACGGTCCTATTGTAATTTTATAATAATTTATTTATTATTAGACTCTTTGATTATTTTCTTTTTTGCTGTATTGACTATTCTTACCATATATTTTTGCATGTATTTCTGATTATTTCCTTATAAGAGACCTAGCCTGGCAATTACTGAGTCAAAAACATTTGCGAGTCCTTTTATTCATGCTGCAAAAAAAAAACTTCCTAGAAAGTTTGTACCATTCTGTACTGACAACAGCAAGTACCATAAGGAATGCGTACCTGACTGCACCCTAATCAAAAGTAATTAAAACAATTTTATAAAGCTCTCATCATTAGTCTGGTAAAAAAGATGTTTTAATTTGCAATTAGGCCAGACACAGTGGTCATGCCTGTAATTCCAGCACTTTGGGAGGCCAAGGAAGGAGGATCACCTGAGGTCAGGAGTTCGAGAGCAGCCTGGCCAACATGGTGAAACCCCGTCTCTACTAAAAATACAAAAAAATTAGCCGGGCACAGTGATGTGTGCCTGTAATCCCAGCTACCCAGGAGGCGGAGGCAGGAGAATCACTTGAACTCAGAGGTGGAGGTTGGCAGTGAGCCGAGATCACTCCAGCCTGAGCAACAAGAGTGAAACTCCATCTAAAAAGAAATTTGCAATTAATTACTAGTATAAACGAACATTTTAAAATTTATGTTTCTGTTTCTGTAAATTGTTAGCAGCTCTTACTTATTCATTTACTTAGAGACAGGGTCTTGCTCTGTTCCCAGGCTGGAACACAGTGGCAAAATCATAGCTCACTGCAGCCTCAAACTCCTGGTGTCAAGGGGTTTTCCTGTCTTGGCTTCCTAAAGTATTGGGGTTACAGGCATGAGCCGTGATGTCTTGCCCTTTTACTCATTTGTTTATTGGGATCTTAATTTTAAAATTTAAAATTGATCTTTATGAGCCCTTTATAAATTCTCCCAGTGGAGGCAGGGAGAATTGCTTTGACATGGGAGGCAGAGGTTGCAGTGAGCTGAGATTGCACCACTGCACTCCAGCCTGGGTGATAAAGTGAGGCTCCATCTCAAAGAAGAAACTAAAGGACTTTGGGATGCTGAGGTGAGTGGATAACATGAGCCCAGGAGTTCAAGACAGGTCTAGGCAACATACGGGGACCCTGTCTCTACAAAGAATTTAAAAATTAGCCAGGCATGGAGTTCTGCACCTGTAGTCTCAGCTATTTGGGAGGCTGGGGTGGCAGGATTGCTTGAGCCCAGGAGGTAGGGGCAGCCACAAGCTATAATCATGCCACGCACTCCAGCCTGGGCAACAGAGCAAGACGCTGTCCATAAATAAATAAATAAGAGAGCAAAATCACCTGGTTACCATCCAGCAGGCCCCCAGAGACAAAAACTCCTTCTCTGAGGAATTTAGAAGTAATTAGACTTTCTTGGTTCCACGCCTCTTTTTGACTGAAAATGTGTAAGTAACAAGGATTTCTGTACATCTCCGGAATGCTTGCCTGCCGAAACTCATTGTTTGGTGCCTGACATTAAGGCACCAAAATGTCTAAAAATGTAATCATTTATCATGCAAGTTACCTTTCAACTCCTGGTTTAGGTCCATAAATATCCCTAAGGAAAAGACCACTGCAGTGCACTCTGAGCTCTTGTACTGCGCTTTTCTGCAGCATTTCTTCTTCTATAATAATAAAACTTTCCTTTTTCAAACCTGTACTGTGGTCAGTAAATTCCTCTCAGCAACCCTGAAGTTGACTGTTACCAGAAAGGGGTCCCAGTCCAGACCCCAAGAGAAAGAGAATGAAGGATGGAACCGGAGTGGCAGCTGTGTTGGCCAAACAGGTTTCTCTGACTGGGCAGCATGGAGGCCACTTCTACCAGCCTGAGAGTTGCAGAAGTAGATGGCGGGGAATCCCCTGCTTGGGGACTGACACAGTAGGTAGATAGAAAGTTGGAGAACAGGAACTGTAAGCCACTAGCAGGAACTTTTTTTTTTTTTTTTTTTAACAGGGTCATGCTCTGTAACCCAGGCTGGAGTGCAATGGCATGATCACGGCTTACTGCAGCCTCGACCTCCTGGGCTCAAGCAATCCTCCCACCTCAGCCTGCGGAGCAGCTGGAACTACAGATAGGTGCCACCACACCTGGCAAATTTCTTTTTATTTTTTATAGAAAAGAGGTTTCTTGGCCATGCACAGTAGCTCACACCTGTAATCCCAGCACTTTGGGAGGCCAAGGCAGGTAGATCACTTGAGGTCAGGAGTTGAGGACTGTGACCAACATGGTGAAACCTCCGTCTCTGCTAAAATGACAAAATTAGCCGGGGGTGGTGGTGCATGCCTGTAATCCCAGCCTCTTCGGAGGCTGTTATTTTTAGTAATAATAAAATTTATTATAATTTGTATTTTGTAGTTTCACCGTGTTGGTCAGGCTGATCTCAAACTCCTGACCTCAGGTGATCCACCCACCTTGGCCTCTCAGAGTGCTGGGATTACAGGCATAAACCACCACGCCTGGCTGCTGAAAACAGCTTTATGGAGGCAGCAGTGTGACAGCTCTGTAACTGGTCCTGCAGGGCAGCGGTACACCACAGGCCATCGTGCTGAGAGTAGCAGATAAGGGGCAGTTCCGTAGTCATGTTTATGCCCACTTTTAATCACACGCAAATTAAAGGATGGGTTTTCCAGAAATTTTTAGGAAAAGAGTTTAACTCCCAGGTTATTGCCATGGAAAGAGGCAGTAACTTCTGGGTTTTGCCATGGCAATGGTAAACTGACATGGCACCGGTGGGCGTGTGTTATGGAGAGGTGCTTTCCCTCTTCCCTGTTTCAGCTGGTCTTCAACTGTTCTGGTGTCAAGTCCCGCCTCTTCCCTCACAACTGCTACTAATCAGGGTGTAGACTGAGGCAACCTGACTCTACGCTCCCAGTTTGCAATACTCTAGCTTGGCCCAAATAGACCCTCTCTCTTACTATTATTATTATTTATTTATTTATGTTAGAGAAAAGGTCTTGCTCTTGTCACCCAGACTGGATTACAGTGGCAAGATCTTAGCTCACCGTATCCTCGAACTACTACTGGGCTCAACCAATCCTCCTGAGTAGCTGAGATTACAGACATGAGCTACCATGCCTGGAAACTTTTAAATATTTTGTACAGATGAGATCTCACTATGTTGCCCAGGCTGGTCTCAAACTCCTGGCAAGCAATCCTCCCGACTCGGCCTCACAGAGTACTGGATTACAGGAATGAGCCCCTATGCCCAGCCCCAGATAAATTCTCTACTTAATTTTGCTTCAGCTTCCTTTCAGGTCAACAGTTCCCTGTTGACTCTCTTGTTTTGCTTTTCTTTTTTTAAATAAAGACGGGGTTTCACTGTGTTGGTCAGGCTGGTCTTGAACTCCCGACCTCAGGTGATCCGTCTGCGTTGGCCTCCAAAGTGCTTGGATTACAGGCGTGAGCCACCATGCCAGGCCGACTCTCAAAATGTTTGTGCAATTAAGCCATTTTGGTGAGGCGCAGTGGCTCACGCCTGTAATCCCAGCACTTTGGGAGGCTGAGGTGGGCGGATCACTTGAGGTCAGCAGTTTGTGACCAGACTGGCCAACATGGTAAAAACCAGTCTCTACTAAAAATACAAAAATTAGCCTGAGTAGTCCCAGCTACTCAGGAGGCTGAGGTGGGAGAATCGCTTGAACCCGCCAGGTGGAGACTGTAGTGAGTCATTCAAGATCATGCCACTGCACTCCAGCCTGGGCAACAGAGAGACTTTGCCTCAAAAAAAAAAAAAAAAAAAAAAAAAAGGCAATTTCCTTAGTGATGTGAACGTTTTCACGGCTATATAAGGGAATCAGGCAGTCCTCAAGGAGGAAGAAAGTGAAGCACAGAGCAGGGGAGGAAGTGGAGGGAGAGAATTTCCCCCAGGCTGGGCAGCCCAGGGTGCTGAGCTCCTGATGTCTGCACCCCTCCTTTGTTTTCTCCATCTCTTCCCTATTCCCCAGGTCAGGCAGGTGGCAGGTCCTGGACAACTGGAAGGAATGAGAATGAAGGATTAAACTGGGGTGGCAGCTGTGTTGGCCGAACAGGCCCCACTGGGCAGCGTGGAGGCCACTTCTGCCAGCCTAAGAATTAGAGAAGTAGCTGGCGGGGAATCCCCTGCTTGGGGAATGACACAGTAGGTAGATTAGAAAGTTGGAGAACAGGAACTGCAAGCCACTAGCAGGAGCATGGTTGAAGAGCCGACCGTGGAGTCCGGACTGAGCGGGAGATAGAAAAGGTACAATAAGCAAGGAAGCAGAGGAGGCTATGGGAAGGATAAGGGGCAGTCCCAGTTATTCTAAGGGAAAAGAAAAAGTGCACTTGAGAGGCTGAAAGAAAGCAGCTCTCCATTACGGCCAGCCTTTTGAGGTGACTGGAGCAGAGGAGGTAAAGGGACCATGAGCACAGGTTGGTGGAACTGTAATAAACAAGTGTGAGGCCAGGTGCAGTGGCTTATGCCTAGAATTCCAGCACTTTGGGAGGTCAAGGCTGGTGGATCAATTGAGATAAGGAGTTCGAGACCAGCCTGGCCAACACAGTGAAACCCATCTCTACTAAAAATGCAAAAAAATAGGTGGGTGTGACAGCAGGTGCCTGTAGTTCCAACTACTCAGGAGGCTGGGGCAGGTGATCTATTTGAACCTGGGAGGTAGAGGTTGCAGTGAGCCGAGATAGTGCCGCTGCACCCCAGCCTGGGCAATACAATAGCGAAACTCCGTCTCAAAAAATTAATAATAAAATAAATAAGTATGCTCAAGTCACTGGGGATGAGAGCAAGACACTTGGCCAGGTACAGTGGCTCACACCTGTAATCCCAGCACTTTGAAAAGCCGAGCAGGGCGGATCACCTGAGGTCAGGAGTTCGAGACCAGCCTGACCAACATGGAGAAACTCCATCTCTACTAAAACTACAAAATAAGCCAGGTGTGGTGGCGCATGCCTGTAATCCCAGCTACTTGGGAGGCTAAGGCAGAAGAATCACTTGAACCCGGAAGCTGGAGGTTGCAGTGAGCCAAGGTCGCGCCATTGCACCCCAGCCTGGGCAACAAGAAAAAAAGTCCATCTCAAAAATAAAAATAAAGGCCCGGTGCAGTGGCTCACGCCTGTAATCGCAGCACTTCGGGAGGCCAAGGCAGGTGGATCATGAGGTTGGGAGTTCAAGACCAGCCTGACCACCGTGGTGAAACCCTATCTCTACTAAAAATACAAAAATTTACCCAGGCATGGTGGTGCATGCCTGTAATCCCAGCTACTCAGGAGGCTGAGGCAGGAGAATCGCTTGAACCTGGGAGGCAGAGGTTGCAGTGAGCCAAGATCGTGCCATTACACTCCAGCCTGGGCGACAGACTGAGACTCCGTCTCAAAAATAAATAAATAAATAAAATAAAAATAAAGTTATCTAGCCACGGTGATCGATGCCTGTAGTCCCGGCTACTTAGCAAGTAGAGGTGGGAGGATTGCTTAAGCCCAAGAGTTCAAAGCTGCAGTGAGGTATGATCACACCATTGCCCTCTAGCCTGGACAATAGAGAGAGACCCTGCCTCTTTAAAAAAAAAAAAAAAAAAAAAAGTTAGTTCTTAGTACACAACAGCTACGCATTCCCCGCCCCATGGAAAGCAGCTGTGCACCAGTTCCTGGATCAGCATGTAAACAGCTTGCGTCAGCCAGGGTAGGCAAAAAAAAAAAAAAAAAAAAAAATCACAGCGGTGCAGAGAAAGAGAGCAGTGGCCATTGGTTTTGTACATCCCCCATTGCTGCAAGCCCCTTCCATTCTGACTAAAGTAATTCCCAGGACATTTAAAAGACCAGTGCCCTTTTTCTTCCTCTTTCATGTTTCTCTTTTCTCCCTTTTCAGGGCCAGACATAAAAGACCAGAACATTAAAAAGACACCACGTATATGGGGGATATTAGAAGGTAAGTGTGCATGTTCTGGGAAAAGACTCAGGCTCAGAAAATCTCTGGGAACATATTAAGATTACTTGTCAGCTTGATCGTTCTTGGTACAGAAACAGCCGACAATAATTTTTTTAAATAGGCCAAAACAATAACAAGAAAAACGCAGCAAATCCTGGTGGAAAGACAGAATCTGATTTCCAGAGTCACCCCATTATTAGATTCAAATGTGCAGTTTTCATGAAAAACTCAGAAGGCATACAAAGATGTAGGAACTGGCTCATTCAAAAATAATAATGTCACCAGAAACTGTCCTGAAAAAGACCTGATGGCAGATCTACTAAAGACTTCAAAACAACTGTCTTAAAGATGCTCAGAGAACTAGAGGAAGATATGCAGAAAGTCAAGAAAATGATGTATAGCCATATACAGTGGCATATGCCTGTAGTCCGAGCTACCCTGGAGGCTGAAACAGGAAGATCACTTGAGCTCAGGAGTTCAAGGATGTAGCGCACTACGATAGTATCTGTGAATAACTGTTCCAATCCAGCCTGGGCAACTTGACAAAACTCTGTCTCAAGAAAAAAAGAAAAGAAAATGAGAAGAGAGGAGAGGAGAGAAAAGAAAAAACAATATATGAACAATGTATCTGTTTTTCAATTTATTCAACAACAACAGATTTCTATTTATGATAAAAATATCAATAAAGACATAGAAAACCTGGGAAGAAACCAGGAAGAAATTCTGGAGCTGAAAAGTAAAATAACTGAAATGAAAAATTTACTAGAGGGATTCAAAAGCAGATTTGAACAGGCAGAAGAAAGCATTGTTGAATGTAAAGAGAGAACGATAGAAATTATCAAGTCTGAGGAACAGAAAGGACAAAGATTAAAGCAAAGTGAACAGCTCAGGCAACCTGTGAGATATCATCAAGCAGACCAAAATAGTCATTGTGGAAGTTTCAGAGGAAGAGAAAGAGACAGAGAGAACATTTGAAGAAATGATGGTTAAAAACCTCCTAAATTTCATGAAAGACATGAATTTAAATATTTAAGAAGCTCAACAAACTCCACGTAGGATGAATCTAAGGAGACTCACACCAAGGCACATACGTAAACTTTTGAAAGCCAAAGACGGAGAGAAAATCTTGAAAACAGCAAAAAAGAAATGATTAATCACATACTAGGAATCCTCAAAAGGATAATCAGCAGATTTCTTATCAGAAATTTTGGAGACTAGAAAGCGGTGAACTGATATACAGTCACGCATCACTTAATGACAAGAGTATGTTCGAGAAATGCATTGTTAGGTGATTTCATCCTTGTGCAGACATCATAGAGTGCACTTACACAAGCCCAGATGGTATGGCCTACTATATATCTAGGCCATATGGCATAGCCTATTACTGCTAGGCTACAAGTATGTATTACATGTTTGTTTGTTTGTTTTTTGGAGACAGAGTCTCCTTCTGTCACCCAGGAAGGAATGCAGTGGCACAATCTCAGCTCACTGCAAAATCTGCCTCCCGGATTCAAGCAGGTCTCCTGCCTCAGCCTCCTGAGTACTTTTTTCTTTTTTTGTATTTTAGTAGAGATGGGGTTTCACTGAGTTGCCCAGGCTGGTCTTGACCTCCTGAGCTTAGGCAATTTACCCACCTTGGCCTCCCAAAGTCTAGGATTACAGGCATGAGCCACTGTGCCCAACCTGATTTGTTTTTTTGTTTGGACAGTTTCGCTCTTGTTGCCCAGGCTGGAGCACAATGGCATGATCTCGGCTCACTGCAACCTCCACCTCCCAGGTTCAGGCAATTCTCCTGCCTCACCCTCTTGAGTAGCTGGGATTACAGATGACCACCACCATGCCCAGCTAATTTTTATATTTCTAATCGACACAGGTTTTTGCCATGTTGGCCAGGCTGGTCTCAAGCTTCGGACCTCAGGTAATCCACCCGCCCCCAACCTCCCAAAGTGCCTGGATTTCAGGTATGAGCCACCACACCCAGCATAGCATGTTACTGTACTGAATACCACAGGCAATTATAACACAATGGTAGGTATTTCTGTATCTAAATATAGGAAAAGTACAGTAAGGATTCAATATTATAATCTTATGGGACCACCATCATATGTGTGGTTCACTGTTGACTGAAACGTTATGTGGCACGTGACTGCATGTGCTGTTTCTGAGAGATGGTCTTTAGATCCAAAGACACAAAGAGATTGAGAGTGAAAGGCTAGATAAATTCCATCCAAATAGTAACCAAAAGAGAGTATGTGTGGCTATGCTAATATCAGACAAAGTAGTCTTTAAATCAAAGCAGTTTACAAGGCACAAAGAACATTATATATTACTAAAACAGTCCAAACAACAGGAAGATGTAACAATTATAAATATTGTGCACCTAAGTTCAGATTATCAAAACTATGAAGCAAAAAACTAACAAAATTAAACAATTCTACTATTCTCCAATAATAGTTGGAAACTTTAATACCTCCCTGTCAGTGATGGTCAGAACAACCAGACAGGAGATATGTAAGGAAACAGAAGACTTGAAAACCACAATGAACCAACAAGATCTAAGAGACATATGCAGAACAGTCTACCCAATAACAGTAGTGTATGCCTTCTTCTCAAGTGTACGTGGACACTTTCCAGGATAGGCCATATGTCAGGCTACAAATTAAGTCTCAGTCAATTTTATTTTATTTTTTGAAATGGGTGAAACCTGAGAACATAAGTGAACTAAACCAGTCAGACAAAGACAAATACCGTATGAGTTCACTTATATGAGACACTTAGAGTAGTCAAAATCTTAGAGGTCAGGCACACCTGTAATTCTAGCGCTTTGGGAGGCCAAGGCAGGAGGATCACTTGAGCCCAGGAGTGTGACTCCAGTTGAGCAACATAGTGAGACCATCTCTACAAAAATAAAATATAAAATAAAATAGTCAGGCATGGTGGCACATGCTTGTAATCCCAGCTATTCCAGAAACTGAGGTAGGAGAATAGCTTGAACCCGAGAGGTCAAGGCTGCAGTGAGCTATGATCACATCATTGTATTTCAGCCTGAGCAACAGAGTGAGACCCTGCTCCAAAAGGATACAAATAAAAAATTACAGAGACAGAAGACGGGATGGTAATTGCCAGGGGCTGGAGACAGGGGAAAGCAGGGAGTTGTTGTTTAATGGGCATAGAGTTTCAGTTTTACAAGATGAAAAGAGTTCTGCAGATGTGTGGTGGTAACGGTTGCACAACATTATGAATGACCTTAATGTCACTGAACTGTACACTTCCAAAACAGTTAAGCTGGTCAATTTTATGTTATGTGTATTTTGCCAAAATTTTATAAAAAATGAAAAATAAAAATAAAAACATGGGAGGCTGAGGCGAGAAAATCACTCAAGCCCAAGAGTTCTTGAGCAGCCTGGGTAACACATTGAGACCTCATCTCTACAAAAAAGTTAAAAATTAGCTAGGCGTGGTGGTGTGCACCTGTAGTCCTTGCTACTTAGGAGGCTGAGATGAGAGGATCGCTTGGACCCAGGAGTCCATGACCAGTTTGGGCAATACAGCAAGACCATGTCTCAAAAAAAAAATAAAATACAATAAATAAAAAATATTGGTGCTGGGCGCGGTGGCTCATGCCTCTAATCCCAGCACTTTGGGAGGCCGAGGCGGGTGGATCACGAAGTCAAGAGATCGAGACCATCCTCGTCAACATGGTGAAACCCCGTCTCTACTAAAAATACAAAACATTAGCTGGGCATGGTGGCGCGTGCCTGTAATCCCAGCTACTCAGGAGGCTGAGGCAGGAGAATTGCCTGAACCCAGGAGGCGGAGGTTGCGGTGAGCCGAGATTGCACCATTGCATTCCAGCCTGGGTAACAAGAGCGAAACTCCGTCTCAAAATATATATATATATTTTCCAGGATATATATACACGTATATATTACATATATATAAAATACCCAGTTTGATAAAGATGCAAAAATGAAACATTTTCATAAACTATTAGTAGAAGCATAAATTCAAGGCACCTTTGAGAATGTGATTTAGCAGTATCTATCAGTACTTTAAATGAGTATATTTTTTGAATCAACTTTGTACTTTTGGGTATCTATCCTACAGAAACGTTTGCATAGGTGTATACAGAGATATGCCCACACTGCTTGTAATGTAAAAAGGTTGGAATCAACCTAAATATTGATCAACAATGGGGAGGTTGAACTGATTATGGTAGAGCTATACTGGATTTTTTTTAAATATTAATAGGAGAGTGTGTAACTCTTGGTATATTATATCTATGATGAATATATGATAATATTTAACAAACTGACCCTTAAAAATAGTAGTTTTTTGAGGGGGACAAGTCTCTCTGCTGATGTGACAATTTTGAGCAAGAAGTTTTTTCATTTTTCCCACCTTATAATGTCAACTAAACTGGGTCTTTATAAAAAATAAAGGAAAAATTGTATGCCATCTGTACACTTTCACACAGGTTTAAAGGCTTCTACATTTGTAGAAAATAAAAGCACAACATGTTTTCAAACCAGAGAGTGAGGCAACATTCAGCTGTGTAACTTTTGCCACTCAAATCTTAAGTCTTCCACTTTTGGCACAGGGGAGGCGGAACTTGGGGGCAGTGATGTAGCTGGGCACTTTAGAACAAGCTAATGTGGTACAGATGGCTAGTCTGTTGAAAGGAAAGCAGTCTGTGGCCAGACACGGTGGCTCATACCTGTAATCCCAGCACTTTGGGAGGCCAAGGCAGGCAGATCACCAGAGTTGGGAGTTCAAGACCAGCCTGACCAACATGGAGAAGCCCCATGTCCACTAAAAATACAAAAAAATTAGCTGAGTGTGATGGCACATGCCTGTAATCCCAGCTACTCGGGAGGCTGAAGCAGGAGAATCACTTGAACCTGGGAGGCAGAGGTTATAATGAGCCAAGATCATGCCATTGCACTACAGCCTGGGCAACATAAGCAAAACTCCGTCTCAAAAAAAAAACAAAAAATGGAAGGAAGCAGTTTCCAACCTCGTTACCATCTGACACCTCAGGAAATAGTTATCTTCTTGTGTGGAGAGGTGTCTTAGAGGGAGACATCAGAATTTTCATTCAAAACTTATTCCTGGCTAGTCACGGTGGCTCACGCCTGTAATCCAAGGACTTCGGAAGGCTGAGGTGGGCAAATCACGAGGTCAGCAGTTCCAGACCAGCCTGGCCAACATGGTGAAACACCATCTTTACTAAAGATACAGAAAATTAGCCAAGTGTGGTTGTGTGTGCCTGTAATCTCAGCTACTCAGGAGGCTGAGGCAGGAGAATCACTTGAACCCGGGAGGTGGAGGTTTCAGTGAGCTGAGATTGCGCTATTGCACTCCAGCCTGGGTGACAGGGCGAGACGCCATCTCATAAAATTTTTTTTTTTTAATTTAAAAAATCAAAAACCATTTCTTCCTGGAAATGAATGTGTTCCATACTATGGAAGTCTACTGGAAGGCCACTGGGAAGGCTTGTTACTCAGTGTAGTCACAACCACAATGCTTGTAAGTTTTCAGATTCCGATTCCCTAGAGCCTCTGGGAAGAAATGCAGACCTGCTGACAGCTTGATTTCAGCCCAGTGAGACCTACATTAGACTTCAAACAAAGAACTAATTTCCCTTTTCTTTGGGTTGCAGTCTTCATCATCTCAAGCTTTTTTGCCTTTTCTAAAGGAAATACATCATGTTTGAAGGGGTGATGCCCCCCTGACAGCAGGTAGCTGAAGCTCTCCAGCATCACATTTCAGTGCAGATTCCTCTGGACAGGGTCCGGCAGCCCCAGCTGCTCCTCAGTGAAGACCACAGCCACATCCTTCAAGGTCAGTCCCTCCTTGAATGTGGTCATTTTTCCTCCCATTTCTGGGAATTTGCAGAGTCCTGAGTCATGCCGTTTGAGAGAAGGCGGAATCGTGCCTGGAACAGTGGAGCTGTGCTTTCAGTAGCCAAAAAGTAACTCCGTGCAGTCCTTTTTCAGGCTCTGCTCTCCGATGAGGCTTCTTTTGCCAAAATTGAACCGCGGGGTCCCTGTGAGCCCCGAGTTTAAGTCCCTGACATTAGGAAGGGCCTGCAAGACACGGAACTGGATCAAACTCGAGTCACATTGTTTCATTCTAAATACAGTTGATGCTCATTATCTGAGGGAGTTGCTCTCTAATATCACACTAGAAACACTGGCAAACACTGAATTAGCAAATATGGAACCATTGTTTCTAGAGGAAGTAGGATTGGTTGATGCCTGTGAGCCTGCGGCCACAGCAGTTTTATTAATCAATCAGTACATAACCTTGTATTATGTGTGTTTCTATTTAAAATACATTACATTATTCAGTATACATTTCTTACAAGTGATTGATTGCATAGTCCTTCAAAGATTTAAAGCCTGGAGTTTTGGAGGCTATTTGCATTGTATAGGTTAACTTGCCAATGTCCTTGTAAAACAAGCCAGTCTCATCGGGGTTGAAAAACTGCTTTCCTAGCCAACCCTTGCCCTTTTCCCATATTACACTTAGCTCGTAATATGGGACAGGGTTTGATTCTGTCGCCCAGACTAGAGTGCAGTGGCACAATCTCAGCTCACTGCAACCTCTGCCTCTCAGGTTCAAGCAATTCTCCCACCTCAGCCTCCTGAGTAGCATGTACTGCCACGCCCAGTTAATTTTTGGTTTTTTTTTTTGGTAGAGGTGGGGTTTTAGCATTTTGGCCAGGCTGGTCTTGAACTCCTGACCTCAAGGAGTGATCTGCTTGCTTAGGCCTCCCAGAGTGTTGGGATTACAGATGTGAGCCACCATGCCTGGCCTCGTATAACTTTTTGTTTTTTGTTTTGAGACAGGGTCCCTCTCTGTTGCCCAGGCTGGAGTTCAGTAGTGCAATCACAGCTCACAGAAGTCTTGACCTCCCAGGCTCAAACGGTCCTCCCGCCTCAGCCTCCCAAGTACCTGGGGCTACAGGTTGGAGAAACCCCCTGTAGTTAGCCCAGCTAATTTTTTATTTCTGGAGATAGGGTCTCCCTATGTTGCCCAGGCTGGTCTTGAACTCCTGGAGTCAAGCGATCCATTCGCCCACCTTGGCCTCCCAAAATGCTAAGATTACAGGTGTCAGCCACTGTGCCCAGGCTTTAGCTTTTTTTTCAAAATTCTCCTGAAGCATCCTGATCTGTAGAACTTGCCTGTAAAATCAACATTTTTTGGCCGGACACAGTGGCTCACGCCTGTAATCCCCAGCACTTTGGGAGGCTGAGGCGGGCGGATCATGAGGTCAGGAGTTCGAGACTATCCTGGCTAATAGGGTGAAACCCTGCCTCTACCAAAAATAGAAAAAATTAGCTGGGCTGGTGGCATGTGCCTGTAATTCCAGCTACTCGGGAGGCTGAGGCAGGAGAATCGCTTGAACCTAGGAGACGGAGGTTGCAGTGAGTCGAGATCATGCCACCGCACTCCAGCCTGGGCTACAGAGCAAAACTCCGTTTCAAAAAAAAAAAAAAAATTAATTCTATGATACATTTTGAATCATCTGAGGCAGCAGTACTAGCTAAGCCAATTCAGACTCATGTCTGAATGAAGCTTACCTAACCGTGTCTGTCAGGCACATCCCATCACAGCCTTCTTGATCATATAAACACTAGATAACATTTCAGCACTGCACCACACTTCAGCACTTTTGCATCTAAAAAGCAAAATCAGCCAGGCACAGTGGCTCACGCCTGTAATCCCAGCATTTTGGAAAGCTGAGGTGGGTGGATCTTTTGAGGTCAGGAGTTCAAGACCAGGCTGGCCAACATGGTGAAAACTCATCTCCGCTAAAAGCATAAAAATTGGCTGGGCGTGGCATCGCACACCTGTAGTCCCAGCTACTCGAGAGGCTGAGGCAGGACAATCACTTGAACCAGAAGACGGAGGGTCACGCCATTGCATTGCAGCCTAGGTGACAGAGAAAGACTCTGTCTCAAAAAATAAATAAATAAACAAAAAATAAAAATATGAAAAGCAAAATCAACAGCAAAAACCATTAAAATTTTTTTAAAGTGCCACTAAATGGACATTTCTAGAAAGGACACTTGTTTGCTGTATGAAGAAGACAGAGTGTGTTCATAAGGGAGGTAGCAGAGCAAGTGGCCGAGATCTAGGACTTCAGTAGGATAACTAACCATCCCAGTTGCCTAGGACTGAGAGAGGCTGTAGAATCAAAAGGATACAGATTTTCATGCAAAATTGAAAGGATGTAGCCTTTCAATTTTTGAAATTGGACAGTTTTAAAGATTTCCCAGGATATGAGACTTTCATTGCAAAAACCAGGAAAGTCCCATGCAAACCACGGTGAGTGGTCCCCCTAGATCTTGGAACTGGATCTGGTTTGAATCCTGGCTCAGCTGCTGCAGCTGTGTGACCCTGAGCAAGTCACTTTACCTTTTATACCTCAGTTTTCCTCATTGCAAAATGGGAATAATAGTAGTTCCCCACATCACAGTGAGATAGGCAACAATGAGCATGTAGTAAAAGTTAGGGAAATAGGTAATGTCAATGAAAGAGTCAATTCTGTAACAAATTTTAAAGACACTTGTTGAGCCAAATATGAGTGACCGTGGCCCGTGACACAGCCCTCAGTAGATCCTGAGAACATGTGCGTAAGGTGGTCAGAGTTCCTAAAATGCAATTTAAAAAAAAGGTGGTCAGAGTGCAGCTTGGCTTTATACGTTTTAGAGAGATGTGAGACTTCAATCAAATACATTTAAGAAATACATGGGTTTGGTTCAGAAAGGCGGGACAATTAGAAGCGGGCACAGGTTCCAGGTTACGGGTGGGTTTAAAAATTCTCTGGTTGACAATTGGTTGAGTTTATCTAAAGATCTTGGGTCAACGGAAAGGAAAGGTCTGATTTCCTTCTGGAGACCAGAAAGCAATGCAGAGGCCAAAGTTCTTATTTGCAGAGGAAGCCTTCAGAGAGTATAGGTTGTAAAATGTTCTTAACAGACTTAGCATCTATGTTGATGTCAGTGCCATCGAGGTATGATGAGGCATGTCTGACTCCCACTCTCCTTCGTGGCTGAACCAGTCTCTCAGGTTACATTTCTTTTCTTGAGACAAAGTCTTGCTCTGTCTCCCAGATTGGAGTGATCTCCTGCCTCCGCCCTCCTGAGTAGCTGGGATTACAGGAACCCACCACCATGCCCAGCTAATTTTTTATGTTTTTAGTAGAAATGGGGTTTCACCATGTTGGCCAGGCTTGTCTCCAACTCCTGTCCTCAAACTATCTGCCTGCCTCATGCTTCCCAAGTGCCGGGATTACAGGCGTGAGCCACCGCACCCACCCAACTCATTATTTTTAATGGCTACATACTGTTTCATGGCCTGGGAATCATAATTCATTTAGATCGGCTCCTATTGATTGACATTTGGGTTGTTTCCATTATTTATTTTTATTTATTTTAGCGATGGGGCCTCACTATGTTACTCAGGCTGGAGCACAGTGGATATTCACAGATGACATCATAGTGTACTGTAGCCTTGAACTCCTGGGCTCAGGGGACTCTCCCATCTCAACCTTCTGAAGAGCAGGGGCTGCAGGTGTGTGCCACCACGCCTGGCTGTTCTACTCTTTTGTTACTACAAACATATGACTAACAATGTAATACTGTCTTGTACACACATCTTTATGTACATTCATAAGTGTCTCTAGGATAAATTCTTAGAAGTGGAAATGCTAGGTCAAAGGAGCTATTATTACCATTCATTGTTATTATTACAATTAATCTCTAAGAAGCCACGTGTTGGAGCCACTCTTTCCTTCTAATGACAAATAGTAGCCGTTATATCTGAGCATAAAGAGATCTTCTATATCTACTGCCTTTTGTGAGTAAAAAACTAGTAAGTCCTGGCCGGGCACGGTGGCTCACGCCTGTAATCCCAGCACTTTGGGAGGCTGAGGTGGGCAGATCACCTGAGGTCAGTAGTTTGAGACCACCCTGGCCGACATGGTGAAACCCCATCCCTACTAAAAATACAAAATTAGCCAGGTGTGGTGTCACAAGCCTGTAATATTAGCTACTTGGGAGGGTGAGGCAGGAGAATGGCTTGAACCTGGGAGGCAGAGGTTGCAGTGAGCCGTGATTGCATCATTATACTCCAGCATGGGAGACAGAGCAAGACTTCGTTTCAAAAAAAAGAATCATTAAGTCTGATTCTGACATCTTGGAAAACTCCAGAATGCCTCTGCTACCTCTCCTCTCTTTCACACCCCTTCTATTTTCCCTTTTGCGTTGGTACATGACCACATTCCCACAAAATGTGTCAGTTGAGTTGGTGTCTTAGTCTGCATTCCTTAAAAAACAGAGCCTGAGGCAAAGCTTATAGAGTAATACTTTATGAGAGTGTAGAATCCTAGGGATGCAAAATGAAGGGAAATGGGGAACAAGTCAAACATGAGACGAGTCAACACCAAGCATGCAAGATGGTCTTGGCCACAGCTTAGGCAAGCTCACTCTTAGATGAAGCAGTTGAGCTTGCGTAGGGGAAGCAAGTCCCAAGCCAGAGTAAGCTGCTGCATCTCTACACAGTCTGTGGAATGACAGGGAGAGGCCCGGTGGGGAGGGGGAAAGGAGAGCAATACATTTATCTAGAGGCTGCCATCTCCTATTGTCAAAATTTGTCCCTTGGGGTGTCGACTCCTCTTCTCTTATGAGTTGAGCCACCCAACTCCTCTAGCAAGGGGAGAAAGCCAGAATCCAAGATAGCAGTGTCCGCCTCTATGGCCAAGCACCAGCCTGGAGTGTAAGCCACTGTGCATCCATAGGTTTTGAGATGGTCCACAGGGCCTCTCATAGCCATAGCAGCAGGAAACCCACATGGCAGGAAAAGAGGGGCTGAGATGCTGGGACAAGGCCAGGTGCTGCTGTGTCATGCCCTCATGTGACATGAGGAGCCTGGAGTAGCTGCCACAGACCAAGTCATTGCTAGAATTCTGGCTAGAACACAAGGCAAGTACAGGATTCATAAAGTGAGTCGGATACAGGGCCAGGCCTGGTGGCTCATGCCTATAGTCCCAGCACTTTGAGAGGCCGAGGCAGGAGGAGCACTTGAGCCCAAAAGTTCGAGACTAGTCTGGGCAACATAGAGACACCACTGTCTTTATAAACAATTTTTTTTTTTTTTAATTAGCTGGGTGTGGTGGATGTCTGTAGCCCCAGCCACTCTAGGGGCTGAGGTGTGAGGATCATTTGAGCCTCAAACACTGAGGCTGTAGTGAGGCATAATCATGCCTCTACACTCCAGCCTGGGTGACAGATCAAGACCCTGCCTCAAAAAGAAAAAAAAGAACACAAAACATATAACAACCAGTCTGGTACAGGTGGGAACACTGGCACATTTCATTCATTCTCAGATGTATATTTTGTTACCTTTTTTGGGGGAAAGGGTGGAGTCTCGCTTTGTCGCCCAGCCTGGAGTGCAGTGGCACGATCCCGGCTCGCTGCAATCTTCAACCCCCAGGTTCAAGTGATTCTCCTGCCTCAGCCTCCTGAGTAACTGGGATCACAGACACCCGCCACTATGCCTGGCTAATTTTTGTATCTTTAATAGAGATGGGGTTTCACCATGTTAGCCAGGGTGGTTTCACAGTCCTAACCTAAGGTGGTCTGCCCACCTCTGCCTCCCAGGTGATGGATTACAGGCTTGAGCCACCATGCCCGGCCATTTTATTACCTTTTAACATCATTGAAATCAGGATTCATCTCACCATTGACAGAATCTCAGGGTTT